ATTTTTCCAATTTTTCAGTTTCTCAACTTCCAATTTCAATTTTTAGTTTCTTCAATTTTTCGATTTGCAATTGTTCAATTTTGTAATTTTTCATTTTTCAATTTTTCATTTTCTCAATTACTAAGTTTTCTATTTTTCAAATTTTTATTTCCTCCGTTTTTCAAGTTCTTGATTTATATTTTTCATTTTTCCAATTTTTTTATTCTTATTTTCTCGTTTTTGTATCATAATTTTTCGTTTATTCAAATTTTTTGTAACGAATGCAGAGCACGCAGATTTAAATTTTCTAAATTTTCGAAAACTCTGGGTTTATTTACCTTCGACCAATTTTTTGACATTCACAATTTTTCATTTTTCCTTTCTCTTCGATTTTACAATTTTTTGTTGTCAATTTTTCGTTTCTTCATTTTCTTTGATTTTTCAATGTTTAGGTTTCATAATTTTTCCTTTTTCAACTCTAATTTTTCCAATTTCTCAATTTCTGGATTTGTAATTTCAATTTTTCGTTTCTTCAGGTTTTCGATTTGCAATTTTTCAATTTTATAATTTTTCGAGATTACAATTTTTCATTTTTCGAGTTTTCAGTTTCTCAATTATTAAGTTTCCTATTTTTCAAATTTTCATTTCCTCAATTTTTCAAGTTCTTGATTTTTATTTTTCATTTTTCCAATTTTTTAGTTTTCATTTTCTCGTTCTTGTATTATAATTTTTCATTTATTCGTTCCTTTATTTTTTATTGTTTTTTTCGATTCTATAATTTTTCATTTATTCAAATTTTTTGAAACGAATGCCGAGCACGAAGATTCAAATTTTCAAAATTTTCGAAAAATTTGGGTTTATTTACTTTCGACAATTTATTGATATTCATAATTTTTGTTTTCCCTTTCGTTTCGATTTTACAATTTTTTGATATGATTATTTGTCGTTTCTTCATTTTTTTCATTTTTCAGTTTTTTCATTTTTCAATGTTTAGGTTTCACAATTTTTCGTTTTTCAACTCTAATTTTTCAAATTTCTCAATTTCTGGATTTGCAATTTCGATTTTCCGTTTCTTTAGGTTTTCGATTTGCAATTTTTCAATTTTATAATTTTTCGAGATTACAATTTTTCATTTTTCGAGTTTTCAGTTTCTCAATTATTAAGTTTCCTATTTTTCAAATTTTCATTTCCTCGAATTTTCAAGTTCTTGATTTTTATTTTTCATTTTTCCAATTTTTTAGTTTTCATTTTCTCGTTCTTGTATTATAATTTTTCATTTATTCGTTCCTTTATTTTTTATTGTTTTTTTCGATTCTATAATTTTTCATTTATTCAAATTTTTTGAGACGAATGCCGAGCACGCAGATTCAAATTTTCAAAATTTTCGAAAAATCTGAGTTTATTTACCTTCGACAAATTTTTTGTTATTCACAATTTTTTGTTTTTCCTTTCTCTTCGATTTCAGAATTTTTTGATGTCACAATTTTTCGTTTTTTCATTTTCTTTCATTTTTCAGTGTTAAAGTTTAATAAATTTTCGTTTGTCAACTCTAAATTTTCCAATTTTTCAATTTCTGGATTTCTAATTTCAATTTTTCGTTTCGTCAATTTTTTGATTTGCAACTTTTAAATTTTGTAATTTTTCGAGATTACAATTTTTCATTTTTCGATTTTTCAGTTTCTCAGTTGTTGAGTTTTTCATTTTTCAAATTTTCATTTCCTCAATTTTTCAAGTTCTTGATTTTTAGTTTTCATTTTTCCAATTTTTTTATTCTCATTTTCTCGTTTTTGCATCATAATTTTTCGTTTATTCGTTCCTTTATTTTTTATTGTTTCTTTCAATTTTATAATTTTTCGTGTATTCAATTTTTTTTAAACGCAGATTCAAAGTTTCAAAATTTTCGAAAAATCTAGGTTTATTTACCTTCGACGAATTTTTTGATATTCACAATTTTTGTTTTTTCCTTTCTCTTCGATTTTAAAATTTTTTGATATGACAATTTTTCGTTTATTCATTTTCTTTCATTTTTCAATTTTTTCATTTTTCAATGTTTAGGTTTCATAATTTTTCGTTTTTCAACTCTAATTTTTCCACTTTTTCAATTTCTAGATTTCTAATTTCAATTTTTCGTTTCTTCAATTTTTCGATTTTTCAGTTTCTCAATTATTAACTTTTCTGTTTTTAAAATTTTCATTTCCTCAGTTTTTCAGGTTTTTGATTTTTATTTTTCATTTTTCCGATTTTTCTCATTTTCTCATTTTTATATCACAATGTTTCGTCTTTACTTCCTTTATTTTTTGTTGTTTCTTTCAAATTTATAATTTTTCTTTTATTCAATTTTTCAAATCATCAATTTTTGATTTTTCAATTCCCCAGTTTGCTCCAACCTTTAAATTCTTCAGTTTTGCAAGTCTTAGATTTCTCAATTATTATCCGATTTTCCGATTTCTATAATTTTCAATACTTATTTTTTACAATAAGTATTTAGATTTTTCGATTTTTAACTTTCTCGATTTGTAATCCTACGAATTCTAATTTTTAGATTTTTCAAAATTTTAATTTTGAGCTTTTTCGAATTTTAATTTTCAATTTTACAATTTTGCAATTTTTCCATGTTTTTGATTTGAAAAGTTGAAAAATTGAAAAATTAAATAATCGGAAGAAATTGAAAGATTGAAAATATGAAAAGACGAAAATGTGCAAAACTGAAAAGTGGAAAATCGAAAAATTTAAATCGAAGCACTGAAGAAACGAAGGACTAAAGCATTGAAAAACTAGAAATCGAGAAATTTAAAAATGGAAAAAAGTTAATGAAGCTAAAATTTAGAAAGAAGAAGAAACCGGATCCAAAAATTGGAAAACCCATAAATTGTAACGGGAATTTGAAAAATTAATAATCGAAAAATAGAAAAGTCGTGAAATTGAAAAAAGGAAAAATTTTAAAAATCATTATTACACATTTAAAATGAGTAGTAGAAAAATTGTAAAAATCTGAAAGGCGAAAAATTTAAAACCGGACAATTGCAAATCGAAATATATTAAAATTGAAAAATTTCACTTTGAATAAAACAAAAATTATAAAATCGTTTGTTTGTTTTTCTTTTAAATATTTATATGTCTGTAAGTAATTTCAGTAATATATAAATCTGTGTAAAGATATATTAACTGTACATTACATTAAAACATTGAAAAACAAAGAAAACTGAAAAATGAAAGAAAACAAAAACCGAAACGAAAAATTGCAAATCGAAAAACTGAAGAAATGAAAAATTGAAAAATTACAAATTGAAAACTCGTGAATCGAAAAAAATTGCAAAATTTAAAAATTAAGACAAATAAGAGTTGGAAAATCGAAAAACAGAAACGAATAACTGAAAAATTTGATATTATAAAAACAAAAAATCGAAACACTGAAAATTCTGATAGTTGAAAAAATAAAGAAAAAAAATCCGAAACGAAAAACTACAAGTTGAAAACTAAAGAACCGAAAAATTGAAAAATCTAAAAATTTAAAATTCGAAAGTCGGAAAATTGGAAACCGGAAAATATAAACTTGAAAACTGAAAAAATTGCCTATCGAAAAACCGAAGATTACGCTCTACTTCAGTGACAAGGAAAGTTCTGTCGAAATAACTTTCAACCATTTCAAGGTAAAACCTTCTTTGAGGCCCCAATTGTCTTTTTTTTTAATGCGAAACCTTCTCGGAGCCCCAACTATCTTTTTTTTAAGAAGCTGAAACCTTATTTTTTCTATTACACTGTGACTAGTACTTTCTATATTGTTTTTACTCCATAGAGAAGCGAAAGAACGAAAGAGGAAAATTTCGCAAAATAAAATGTTATCATTTTTGAAATATGCAGGATTTGTTACTTCAGAGGCGAAGGAAGTTCTCTTGAAATATCTTTCGACCAATGTTTTAGTTTTATACCGAGAGAGTAGTAAAAATCAAAGACAGCGATGGATTTTTCAAAATTTATCTTTGATTGTTGTATTTTCAACTCACATTTTCAAATTAATACTGATTTGAGATGACAAAAATTCTACCAAAGATTAATCTTCAAAAATCCTGCTGATCGTGCTTACGAACAAAAATAGTTCTTGAATATCAACAATTGTGGACATGCTGAAAAATCAGCCATGTAAAAATATTTACTGGGTTTTCAGGTTACATCCTGAAACAAAACAGCTGTTTTCTGAAAAATGTATACACTGATCTGTGTTACCGTGCCAAAAAGTGCAGTTTCTACATTAAAAAAAAAAGAATATTACCGTAAAATCTAATTTCAACGACCTGTAAGAGCTGTCTCAAAGATTCAACTTCGACCACTAAATGACGTACGCAAATTCTGTCGTCAAATAAACACATTTGCGAAACATCAAAACCGGAAATATTATTGCTTTTTCCCAATTTCCCCGGCCTATAAAACCCCAACCGACGAAACTCAACACCCCACGCGGACTTAGCCCTAACCTATCCGGAATCCGGCGATCAGCGCGTTTCAGTTGTCAAATCGTTAAGCTTAACATGGTCAATTAAATTTAAGACTTTGAAGTGAACTGCGAGGTAATCCGTGGTTCAAAGTACTCCCTCCTGACTGATAGAGGATAGGAGACAAGTCGGCGCTTAACGAAATTTGGCACAGTGCCGCAGGACTCTCCTGCAATGTCTGCAGGACTGACACGTAGCTGTGGCACTGTAATTGATCACCAGTCGGTTCTCCGCAAGCAGGATGTGTCCCTTTATGCTGTATTTCAATGGTTAATCGAAAAAAGACAACGCCGCGAGCACGTCACCATTCCTGCCGCTATTACTGCATTAGAATGGCAGATGTCGTGTTGTTGCCACAACTCTTTCCGGTTCACTGCAAACTCGCGGTTTTAAAGGAAGTTTAATAACCTAAAGAAGGATGCTTTTAATCGCCGAGTTTCAAAATGGCGCCGCTTCTCCGATGATATATATAAATGGTTTGGTTGTGCCAACTTGGAACATCTATTCTAATAATGTCGTTTTGTGTTTCAGGTATTCAGACAATCCTTCACGGCGCAGTACACCATCTATGACGTCAAAAAAGAGTGAGTATTGCGTCATTCGAGCGTCGTCTGCCCTAAATTACGAGAACAGTGCATTTCATGCTGGTGTTTTAATTAAAAACGAGAACTAAAAATACTTGAAAAGTTTTGTCTCGTATTCTCTAATAAATAAAGTGATCTAGCTACTATAGTACAAAGGGGAGGGATTTATGCTTCACTGTACAACTATACGAGCATCGCCCATTAGTGTATTACTGTACTGAATTATATATCCAATCGTCAATTTTTTTGAAAACATGTGGAAGAATTTTGAGAATTTATTGAGTTTTTTAAAGAATTTGAACATATCTTGGAGGCTTTTGATGCGTCGTTTCTGAAATAGTTTAATAGGATCTCAGGGTTCCCTTGTGCCTTTTTTTCAAACCTTAGGGACTGTTTGTGTCTTGTTTTTGAAACAATCTGAAAACATCTTGCAGGCTTTTGCCGTTTTCTTTTGGAAAGGGTTCGAAAAACCTTAGGAACCCTAGTGTTTATTTCTACGGATTTGAAAGAATATTAGGACCCCTTAGTTTCTCTTTCTTTTTGCGGTTTTTAAAGTAAGTACGTTCACGAATGGGCAAGGAAGGAGTCCCAATTACCTCAAAAACAACACAAGAGACACTACTTCAAAAACAAAACAAAGGGGTCTTCGAGATTCTTCCAAATTACTTCAACACAAGACAAGATATTAACGAGATTCTTTCAAACTACTTCAAAAACAAAACACAAAGAGTCTCCGAGAATCTAATAAATGCCTCAAAAATAATACGCTTAAAAATCTCCGAGATTCTTTCAAATTACTTTAAAAACAAGACAAGGAATCCCGAAATTGTTTTTAATTATTTTAAAAACAAAACCCACATGGTGTCCCCGAGATCCTATAAAGTGCTTCAAAAGTAATATACAGAAAGATCCTCGATAATATTTCAAATGCTTCAAAGACACGGGACTTCGAGATTCTTTCAAACTACTTCAAAAATAAAACACAAGGGATCCCCGAGATTCTTTCAAATTACTTAAAGAACAAGACAAGGGATCCTCAAGATTGTTTCAAGTTACTTCAAGGACAAGACATCACAGATCACAGGACTTTGAGATGCTTTCAAACTACTTCAAAAACAAAACGCAAGGGGTCCCTGAGAGATTCTTTCAAATTAGTTCAGAAACAAAACACACAGGAGGTCTCCAAGATCCTAATACATTGCTTCAAAAAGAAATACACAAAACGATCCCCGAGATTCTTTCAAACTACTTCAAAATACAACACAAGGGATCCACGAGATTGGTTCACACTACTTCAAAAATACAACCCAAGGGGTCCCATAGATTCTTTCAAATTACTTCAACGACAAGACATTAGTGTTCACGGGACTTCTACATTCTTTCAAACTACTTCAAAAACAAAACATAAGCGATCCCCGAGATTCTTTCAAATTACTTCAAAAACAGAACGCACGGGAAGTCCCCGCGATCCTAATAATATATTGCCTCAAAAAACAATTCACACAAAGATCCCCGATATTCTTTCAAATTACTTAAAAAACAAGATAAGGAATTCCAAAATTGTTTCAAATTACTTCAAGGATAAGATATCAAGATCACAGGACGTCGAGTTGCTTTCAAACTACTTCAAAAACAAAACACAAGGGGTCCCTGAGAAATTATTTCAAATTAATTAAAAAATAAGACACACAGGAGTCCCCAAGATTCTAACAAATTGCGAAAAAAAAAAACAATACACAGAAAGGTCCTTACTACTTCTACTACTTCAAAAACAACACACAATGGGTCCCCGAGATTCTTTCAAATTATTTCAAAAACATGACAAGGAATTCCTGAGATTCTTTCAAATTACTTTAAAAACAAGACAACGGGTCACCTTGAGATTGGTTCAAACACAAAACGAGGGGTCCCCGAGATTCTTTCAAACTACTTAAAAAACAAAACAAAAGACATCCCCGAGATTTTTTCAAACTGCCTCAAAAACAAAACACAGAATCTCCATGATTCTAATAAATTGCCTGAAAAATAACACACATAAAAATATCCGACATTCTTTCAAATTAGGAGTACCTTAAAAATAATACAAATCAACCGAGAATGTTCCAAATTACTTCAAAAAACAAACCCACAAAGGGTCCCAGAGATCCTAATAAATTTCTTCGAAAGTAATACACAAAAAATCACCGAGAATATTTCAAATGCCGGATCACGGGACTTTGAGATTATTTCAAACTACTGCAAAAACAAAATACGAGGGATCTCTGAGATTCTTTCAAATTAATTCAAAAATAAGACACACGGGGGTGCCCGAGATTCTAATAAATTGCGAAAAAAAAAACAATACACAGAAAGGTCGCTGAGATTCTTTGAAATTATCTACTTCAAAGACAAAACATCACAGATCACAGGACTTGGAGATTCCTTCAAACTACTTCAAAAACAATACACAAGGGGTCCCCGAGATTTTTTCAAATTACTTTAAAAACACATAACCGATCCCCGCGATTCTTTCAAAATACTTCAAAAACATGACAAAGAATTCCAGAAATTTTTTCAAATTACTTTAAAAACAAGACAACGGGTCACTGAGATTGGTTCAAACAACGTCAAAAACACAACACAAGGGGGCCCCGAAATTCTTTCAAACTACTTAAAAAAAATAAAACAAAAGACATCCCCGAGATTCTTTCAAACTGCCTCAAAAACAAAACACAAAGAATCTCCAGATTCTAATAAATTGACTCAAAAATAATACACATAAAGATATCCAACATTCTTTCAAATTAGGAGTACTTTAAAAACAATACAAGTGTCCCGAGAATGTTCCTAATTACCTCAAAAACCAAACCCACAAAGGGTCCCCGAGATCCTAATAAGTAATAAATTGCTTCGAAAGTAATACATAGAAAGATCCCTGAGAATATTTCAAATCACGGATCACGGGACTTTGAGATTCTTTCAAACTACTTCAAAAACGAAACACAAGGGATCTCCGAGATTCTTTCAAATTACTTCAAAAACAAAACAATAGGGAATCCCCGAGATTCACAAGACATCACAGATCATAGCACTTCGAGACTTTTTCAAACTATTTCAAAAACAACACACAAGGTGTCCCAGAGATACTTTCAAATTACTTCAAAAACAAAAACACACAGGAGGTCCCTGAGATACTAATACATTGCTTCAAAAACAATTCACGCAAAGATCATTGAGATTCTTTGAAATTACTTCAAGGACAAGACATCACAGTTATCACAGGAATTCGAGACGCTTTCAAACTACTTCAAAAACAAAACACAAGGGGTGCCTGAGAGATTCGTTCAAACTACTTCAAAAGCAACATAAAAGGGGTCCCCGAGATTCTTTCAATTTACTTGAAAAGCAAAAAATGTATCCTCAAGATTGTTTCAAACCACTTCAAAAACACAACACAAGAGGTCTCCGAGATTCTTTCAAATTATTTCAAGAACAAGACATCACAGATCACAGGACTTAGAGATTCTTTCAAACTACTTCAAAAACAAAACTCAAGGAGCCCCTGAGATTCGAATAAATTGCTTCAAAAAACAATAGATAGAAAGATTCCCGAAATTCTTTCAAATTACTTCAAAAACAACACACAATTGCTCCCCGAGATTCTTTCAAATTACTTTAAAAGCAAGACAACGGGTTCCGGAGATTGGTTTAAACGACTTCAAAAACACAACATAAGGGGTTCCCGAGATTCTTTCAAATTACTTCAGAGACAAGACATCAGGGATCACAGGATTTCGAGATTCTTTCAAATTACTTCAAAAACAAAACACATAAGGGGTCCCCGAGATTCCTTAAAATAACTTCAAAAACAAAACACAAGGGATTCCCAAGATTTTTTCGGATTACTTAAAATAAAAGACACAATTTCTTTCAATTCTTTAAAGACAAGATATCACGGGTAGAGCAGAGTGGGGCCATTTGGAAATCGGGAATTTTCCAGAGGCGTTAGTAGGCATGGTATATCACTGGTGTCCGAATCCAAATTTTATATACTTTTAAATGAAGTAAAATTTCGCCCTTTCAGACACCTGTCTAAATTTTTCCAGGCCCTCCTTCTCGGGCAATATAATAATCAATACAGACAATTTAAGACAAAAATTACCACAGCAGGCAAAATGGATGGAGCTCTAAACTAGTTTCTGGAGGTAAGAAAAGGTTTCAAAGATAAATCTACAGAACTCAAAACGATCTTTGGAAAGTGTAGAGGTGAAGGCCGAAATTGGAATGTTAAAAAAGAAGAAAAGAATTGCGAACAACTAGTGGCAACTAATTCCTGTGGTCAAAAAGTTTGAGCACTAGAAATAATTCAAAAAACTGGGTAAACTAACCGTAACAAATGATAACAAAGAACCAAAGACAAATAAATGGTTCACGAGAAAAGCCAAATAATAAAACTCAATCCAAAATTAGGAAGGTAAGTAGTGGAGGAAAGAAAAAGTCGACAACAGAATTTGAAGAAACACGACAATTTGACGAACAAATCAACGAAACGAGACAGGTAAAACAGATGCAAGTACTCATAGCAACCTAGAAGGTAAGAGAAACTTATGAAGAAGGAGCAAAAATGGGAAAAGATGGTAGGAAATTATAGCAAACATCAGGAAAGTCATGAAAATAGAAAGAATTGATTGAATTCGCAGTCGAAAAAGGGTTAAGAGTGGTAAAAACGTATTTTCAACTCAAAGCTATACACAAAGGGATATGGATGGCACCAGATAGGAAAATGATGAATCAGGTAGATCATATGGTAATGGAAGGTAAACGCAGTTAATGTAGTAGATGTGAAGGATAATCGAGGTGTGGATGCGGACAATGACCGTAAGAGTAAAAATTAATTAGAAGAAGGAGACCACCATCAAAAATAAATGGACAACACTAAAAGAGGAAAAGGTGTTCAGTGGAAAAATTCTCTAATGACAGAAGAAGAAATTTGGAAGAAAAAAAATATGTGAGCACATCAG